TTTTGTATTCCTGTGTATACATTGCTGTTTTATGTTTTATTTTTCACCTTAGTATTTATGATGTCTGGTGTAATTACAGACAAATTTGTGGTGAGAAAATTTGCCTGTGACCATTTAGATATTGGAGGACACAATCAGCATCTTGACATGAATGTCACTTTTATATAGATCTTTATATGAATTTTAATTAAAATCTGCACATTGCCCTGCTTCCCATTTGGCTTATCTTGACTCCTTACACTAAAAAGAAGAAAAAGAAACTTCCAAAAGTATGGTCTTGCTAATAAGTCCATTGACTAAAATTCCCCACCTCCCTTGCTTCCATTCATGTACCCAACCCCACACAACAAACACAACCAGTTAATGTTATTTAAGAAACATTGTTTGAGCCCTGGTAGCCATAGCTCAGTGGATTGAGCACTGGCCTGAAAACTGAAGGGGTTACTCGTTCGATTCCTACTCAGAACACATGCCTGGGTTGTGGACCAGGTCTCCTGTTGGGGGCACGTGAGAGGTAAAGGTAAGCAATCCGATCTGTCACATATTGATGTTTCTTTCCCTCTCATTCTCCCTCCCTTCCCCTCTCTCTAAAAAATAATAAAATAAATAAAACTTTAAATAGAAATACTTTTTGAATCTTAATCCTCTTGAAAGCCGTAGGTTGAAGCAATCTATGTTAAGCTTCTAAAGAGGAAGAAAATAAGGACAAATAGTCTCATCTGTGGAAACACAAGAAAAGCATGGGTTATGCTCACATGAAAAAAATATTTATTTAGGCTTCAAAAATATATAGAGAAAGAGAGTAATAACCAATAACTCAATTCCTAAAACTTTAAGGAAATAAAACAGTATACACAGTTGTATATATCAAACTTTAAGGAAATGAAACAGTATACAGAGATGTATATATCAATGTTTATTGTGGTGTTGCTTATGAGAAGAAACTTGGACACAATTTAAATGTTCACCAACTAGGTCTAATTTAATGAAATTACATATTATGAATCTGTACAATGAAATGGTATACAAAGGACGATAAAAAATATGTATTTTTACATGTTAACATGAAAAATACTTAATACTTTTCTAATTTAGGTATTTTAGTCCCATTTTAATAAAAATTTACATGCCTATTAAAAAATAAAAGGATATAATTAAGATGATAGTACCTGTCCTGGCTGGGTAGGCCAGCTGGTTGGAGCATTGTCCCTAGGTGCCAAAGTTGCATGTTTCATCCCCAGTAGGGGCACATGCAGGGATTAATCAATGGGTGCATAAATGGCTGGAACAGGTTGTTTTCTCTCTCCTTTCCTTTCTCTCTGAAAATCAGTACAAAATGGTTTTCTTTTTTAAAATTATAGTGCCTTTGGGTATGGAATAATGGTCAATATTTAGTTTCTTTATATTTTCCTGTAGTTTTTACAATAAGCAATGTTACTTTTATAAACAGAAAAGAGGGTACAATAATTGCAAAATACTGGAAGTTGGTAAAAAAAAAACTGCACAAATATATGTTGGGAGAGATTTGGCTTACCAGCAGGACATGTAAAAAAACATAAATATTTTAATTAACTATAGGCTATAGTAGCTACATATTATGTGGCTACATTAATTGAAATACATTGTCCAGAGGTAGAAATCATAATTATCTACTCTGTGCTGTCAAACTATCTCCAGATACCATAGTTTATGAAAATATCCCTATTCTCTAGGCAAGACTTAATTTCTCAGTTAGGATCATGTATAGAACTGAAACCATATTATCATGAGGAAGAGACATAAATGAGTTTTGGATGCTCTAGGCCAAAGTCAGTAACCACTGAAACCAGACTTCCTGCTTTCAAATACAGAAAGGAGAATGTTAAAGAAATGGTATTAAATGTTTCTCACAGAGTCAGATGAGAACCAACGGCATCAGAATTACCTGAAGTACTTGTTAACATAGTTGATTTTTGCCCTAACTGGGCTGCTCAGTAGTTAGAGCGTCCCTATAAGCCAAGGTTTTAGGTTCCATCCCTGGTCAGGGCACACACAACAATCAACCAATGAATGCATAAATAAGTGGAATAACAACCTGATATTTCTCTCTCTCTCCCGTACATCCCCCTTCCTTTCTCTCAAATAAATAATAAAAATCAATAGTTCATTTCTGGTATTCCCCCACCCAGGAGCATACTCATGCCTTTCTTCCCTCTCCACCATACATCTCCTAAACTGAGTCCCCATGAGACTTGTAATCAGGGAAGCAATGAGTAAGAGCAGCTTGTCCAGAGCTAATGCCTTGAAAGTGTCTCCAAGGCCCCCTTTTCTGACTTTTCAGTGGGCCAAAGCAGCCCCACCTAGGCTCTCTCCTGTTACTTCTAATCTAAGCTCTTTCTTTCACTGTTCCCAGCTTTAATAAACATATTCTCAAAATCAAAAGAAAAAAAAAAAGGTGATTTCAGGTCCCAATGCAGCCTACAGAATCAGAATCTCTGGGAAATAGGTAATACGTTTTTTCTTTCAAAAAAAAAAAAAAAAAAAAAAAAAGACCCCAAGATATTTTCTTGAGAACCAAAGGTTGAGAATTACTGCAAATAATTTGAGTTAACTCACCAGACAGCAGAAATTCTTAATCAGTTTCTCTCTTTCAAATAATTTTTTTTTATGCCCTGGCTGATGTAGCTTAGTGGATTGAGTGCTGGCCAGCAAACTAAAGGTTTGCCAGTTTGATTCCCAGTTTAGGGCATATTGGACTAACTACACTGGGCTATGAAAACTCCAATAGTGACTTCAGGGGTTTGTTTTTATTAGATAGCCAAATGTCTTATATAGCAAGAACTAGGCAGTTGCTAGCATTGAGCCAGCTGCTCAACAATGCCACCAGGGACCCAAGTCTTTTCTATTTCCATTTTGCCAACTTTAAAGTCTTGGGTTTTGCTTTTTGAATATAGGATCCTTGTCAGGAAGGCTGCTGCTTCTCCAGATATCACATCTGTACCCCAGGCAGACAGAAGAGGGAAGGGTGTTGTACTAGATAATCATCTGTCCTGTTCCTAGCTCTTATCACTTTACTGCAGTGGCCAGACTTACAACTGTTAGCACCTGTTTTTTTATGCCTGAGTTTTCTGTTTGCCTGAGAAGCCTGCTTTGCTACCTACAACTCCTCCTAGCAACACTAAATCAGTAACTAAATACAGTAGATGTTAAATACCCAGCTTCCTTGTCCCTTGGGTAGGATGATTTTAAGGCATACTTTTTACAATGGTTTGTAGAATTTCTCAGTGGGATTAGGTTCCAGTTATCCTCAAGAATAAAGGGCTTAATGATGAATCATTTATTGGATAGCTACTCCCTCCCTCCCCAATTTCCTATCACTATTCCATCAGTGTTTCTTGAGATAATATAAACTATTTCTACCTGTGTCCTTGTTTCAGGACCTGCTTTGGGTAGAATACAAACCAAGACAGGCTGTTATCACCTTTCCTCCTTCTTCCTATCTTTAAAGATAGTTGGTGCTATAGTATCTACCTTATAAGTAGTAGGTGACAAGCCAGTATGTGTAGTGGAAAATCAACTTTGGTTCATATCCTTGAGCCACTCCACTGTTAGGGCCCAGACTCTACTACTGCCTGTGGGTCATAAGAGAAAAATAAACCCTATTTGTTCAAGCCATTCTTACTTGAAAATAAAAAAATTTTTTTTGCTCCCAGTCCTAATGAGTCCCTGATTCATATAAATGGAAATAATTACCGACTATAGTAAAAGCTGTAAAGGAAATAAACCAAGTACTGTGATACCTTTAGGATAAGAGATTAGATATTTCAAAATTACAGAACATATCTTATGAAGAAACATTCATCAGACCTAGAGCAGAAAAAGGTTTTATTTTAGATATCAAACCAATGCGGTCTGACTGCAAGAAGGGTAATGTTAAAGACTGGGGAGATGGGGGAAGGCCCTAGTAGAGTTTGAGTGTCCTGGTCCCATATCTCAGCTGGTTAGAGCATTGCCACCATGCTCCTGGATTATGGGTTTGATCCCTGGTTGGGGCACATGCACGAAGCAACCAATTAATGTATACATGGGTGGAACAAGAAATTTCTCTTTCTCTAAAATTAAAAAAAAAAGTTTATTGGAAATGCAGGGAAGTAATTTAATCCATCTTATTTATTATTTTTTAGATTTTACTTATTTTTAGACAGAAAGGAAGGGAAGGAGGAAGAGAGGGAAACATCAGTGTGTGGCTGCCTCTCGTGCACTTCCCCACTGGGGACCTGGCCTGGAACTCAGGCATGTGCCCTGACTGGGAATCAAACCAGCAACCCTATGGTTTGCAGGCTGGCACTCAATTCACTGAGCCACAACAGCCAAGGCCCAATTTATTTTTTATAAAAACAAGAGGGAAGTGATATAATCCAATTTATTTAAAAAAGTAATCACTCCAGCAATTTAAGAACCAAACAGCAATTAACATGACTGGATGCTGTGGAGAGAAATAAAATAGCATAGCTGCCTTTCCAATAATGGCCCTAAAGTCCACAAAACAGTGATGAGTGTGGGTGTAAGGGAGAGGAGTAAATTGTGCAGTAACTCTGGCCTCTAATGTTAATACTAGACTTTATCCCTCAAATCCAGAGACAAAACTCATGTGTTCAATAGTAACTAGGGTGCTGAGGACAAATAATCTCCATAGCAATATTAAATTTTCAAAGTTGTTTATGCTGGGCTGGTTTTCAGGAAAGTACCTAGAAATATACAATTATACTAAATTTGAAAATTAGAAATTTCGTTGCCCTGGCTGGTGTGGCTCAGTGGATTGAGCGCGGGCCTGCGAACCAGACAATCGCGGTTCGATTCCCAGTCAGGGCACATGCCAGGGTTGCAGGCAGGTTCCCTGCAGGCCAGTTCCCTGCAGGCCAGTTCCCAGCAGGGGACGCAGGAGAGGCAACCATACATTGATGTTTCTCTCCCTCTCTCCTTCCCTTCCCCTCTAAAGATAAATAAATAAAATCTTAAAAAAAAAAAAAAGAAAATTAGAAATTTCAGATTGTACAATTTTACTCAAAGCACAATTCTACCACTAGATGGTGACATGTATACAAAATATTGAAGTCATTATCAGTCTTACAGCTATAGATGTACGGTAATTGCTGATTACTGGTTTTAAAATTAATTTATAAGCCCTGATTCTGATGGGTATGATTTGGTTGGGTGCTGTCCCACAAAGTGAAGGGTTGCTGGTACATGCCTCATTGCAGGTTCAGGTCCTGGTAGGGGCCCTCATGAGGTCAGACAATTGATGATTCTCACCTTTCCTTCCCCCATCGAAGAACCGCCAACTAAAATATTTTTTAATCAACTTATAAGAATTTAGGGGATGTTAGAGATTTTGTTCTATTATTCTTTTAGAATGAACACCTTTCAAGCACATTAAAAAGTCTCTGTTAACACGTATACCAAGTTAGTACAGAGTGAAGAGTATTGAGTCAGTCAGGCAACCTTTTTATTAGCTTCTATGCCTTTGTCTTTTGATAAGCAGCTGAATATAGATAAAGGGTTGATAAACTACATCCCATAAGCCAATATGACTAGTTACAAGTTTTTGTGTGGCCTGTGGGCTAAGAATTTTTACATTTTTAAATGGTTAAAACAAAACGAAAAAATAGTATTTTGTGATACATGAAAACAAATGTAAAATCTGTGTCCATAGTTTTACTGGAACGGTCATACTCAATATATATTATCTACGGCTGCTTTTGTGCTTATAGAGTCAAGTAGTTGTGATTAAGAAATTGGATGGCCTACAAAGCATGAGACATTATTGACTCTTGAGCCCTGAAGTGATGACTGAAGAGCAGTGATCATATATGGGAATAATTCTCTAGATTCTCAAATCATTTTAAGTACTTATTTTTTTTTAGAAAGAGGGAAAGGGAGGGAGAGGGAGAGAAACATTGATCAGTTGCCTCTTGCACGCACCAACTCAGGTCAGAACCTGCAACCCAGGCATGTGCCCTGACCAGGAACTGAACCAGTGACCATTCACTTTGTGGGATGCCCAACCAACTGAACCACATCAGTCAGGGCTCAAATCACCTTAAACCCAGCATCACTTCACAGAATTTTTTTAAAGGAAAAAACAAAACAAAACTAGGAAGCAACTTCTTGTTAAAAAAATGTTTAAAGGAGAATATGTAGTAGTAGTTGTCCTATTTCCAAGAATTGTTATGGGTCCACTGTGGTCATAAAAGCATGGTTGACAGATCCTTACAAATAATTATCCAAATACCTGCATCAGTTAGAAATGTGGCTTCAAGTAATGGAAATCTAAGACTGGATTAAGGAAAAAGGGATTTTTCTCACATAAGGAGGGTGTTGACAGATGCTCAAGATATATCAGCAACCCACCCACACATTATTATTCTGCATTATCAACCTTATAGTTTGCATTTATCTTGTGGTTTCATTGTTAAAATAATTTAAATTAATGCTGTTATTTTGTGTATTAAGAATGTTCCAGGCAGAAAGTATTTAGGGTTAAGGGGCACATCTGCTGAATTTGTTTCTTTTTAATTAGGAATGGGCAATTCTTTTTAAGAGACCCACTCTGCAGATTTCTGTTTACATTTCACAGCAAGAATTGAAACATATGGCCAGCCCTAGAGAAACCATACCATGATTCATTTTAAATTTATAATGTAAGGGGAAGATGCCCCCAAACCAGATTTATAAAATATTGTATATTTACTCTTACATATTAAACTTCAGCCACTTTCAAAGTATTCTTTATTTGATGCAATACACCTATCAGGACATTTTTCCCACTGCTCAAAATAGTTTATGAACTCATTGATTTTGATGCTTTGCACCTCTTCTGCCAATTTTTTAAAAAATATTTGATTTATTTTTAGACAGAGAGTAGAGAGGGAGAGAAACATCAATGTGTGGTTGGCCTCTCAAGTACCCCCCTACTTGGGGCCCAACCTGGCCCACAACCCAGGATGTGCCCCGACTGGGAATCAAACGGTGACCCCTTGTTTCACAGGCCAGTGCTCAAAGGGCAATTAGGTGAATAGGGAGGGTGGGGGGTCTTGCCTTCTCTGGTCAAAACTGCTCAAAATTCAGTGTGCATTGTCACCTTGGAAGAACCAGTCACCTGTTTGCCACAGGGGCTTTTCTCCTGCAAATCATAACTTTCTCAAAACTTCCAGATAAAAACTTTGGTTGACTGTTTCACCGACCCATAGGAAAAAATTTCAAAAGCACAACCCATTTCACATCAAAGAAACAGATGATCACTGTTTTCATGGTTGATTTCACTTATGTGGGGAAGTGGCAGTTTTCCACTGACTACTCGAAGATTCTTGTTTCATTTCAGGGTTGTAACTGTAACACCAAGATTCATCTCTGGTTATGACTTTTGAAAAAAAATCTGGGTCAGCTTCCAACTGCTCCTTCAAAGCACAGCTCGTAGCCAAGCAATTGTCTCTTTGTTCAGGCATGAGCAAGTGAGGCACAAGTTTTGCTAAAACTCATTTCATGCCAAATTATCACATAAAATTTGCTGACAGGAATTCCATGACACCACAGTCAAATCTGCAAGTTCATTCAGTAGTCCAATGGGAATCTTTCAAGATGGCTTGATGAACTCTTACCACAGTTTCTTCAGTTTGGCTGGTTGAAGAATGCTCGAAACAAGGTTCATCATCAATATACATTTTGCCTCATTTAAATGAGAAAACCATTCATAAACTTGTTTTACTTAAAGCAGCTTCTTTGTAACCATTTCTACCTCATTTTTCCCCAACAGGAAACAAAATTTTACTGCTGAACATTGTGTAAATTATCCATCAAAATGGGCAAATGCATCGAAAGTCTTCAAAAAAAAATTCACTGAAACTGAATGCAGCCTCTCACAACGGCCAGCTGGAACACTGAAACAGATGGGTTCCTAGAATACTCACACTGGGGAAGCCTGTACTTACAAGGGGCCCGCCCTCCAGAAGATGACTCCAGGTTTTTTTTTTTGTGGGGGGCACTTCCTTCCTGAGACGGTGGTCTCTCCTTTGACACCTGAAAAATAAACATAAACCACTTGGGTTTGCCAAGTGTTCTACTGGAAGGGGCGAGGCATGGGTAGGACCTTAGGTGGAGGATGCCTGCCACAGAAACCCAAATTTTGTATAAAAGATGGGGAAGGAAGATGATGTCAGAATAGCTCTACAGTTCCTAAGGAGCACCTGCTCATATGAAGCCACTCATATCATGCCCAGAATTTCACAGCATCAACTTCAAGCGGCAGAAAGGCAAATTCCAGGATGGTGGTCCTTGCATGGCGAGGTGATGGTGTGACAAAACTGCGACAAAATTTATTAAAGAATCACTACTTTCTAGGTGCTCTGGTTACAGTTCTAAAAATATTACAGAACCCATCTTTTGGACTTTTAGTTACATCTTTCATCACATTGGATACAAAAATCAGTGAGGAAGGTGTAGGTGCAGGTGTAAGGAAAATTTTCCCAAAGTTAACAGCAAACTTCAACTGAGTGCCCACCTTCCCTTCACCTGTTCTTCCTTCTCCGTTTCCCATCTTAATACCCTTTTAAAATTGCTCTTCGCTGAGAAGCGTAATATGCTGTTTCAGGTGGAGAGTCGTAGATGGGGCACTTCGTGAGGGACCCTCTGGCGTAAAGTGGAGGAGATTCCAATGTGAACAGTCCGCCATTTCTAGTCACACCAGGTGTCTTACTGTTCGAGGGCGGATGAACCTTAGAGGACTTAGGGTAACAAGGACGCAGGTTAAGCCGACCCCGAGCCGTTCCGTCCTTACAAACCGCCGCAGGAAAAGGGCCATGTACCCCAACCTAGGCTGCGGCGCAGTTCCGCATCTCCATTAACACCGCCCCACACCCCTCAAACCCTGAGCGCGAGGGAGGGAGACAGTGAGAAGGCAGCATCCATTCGTGGATCCACAGGAAAAATAGTGAAATTCAGGGGCAGAAGATAGGGTGGCGCAAGTGACCCGGAGCTCGATGGGCTTTGGGAGCCCACGGAGTGGGCCGCCGTGGGCAACTTCGAGCCATCGCGACCCGCTGGCTGCCTCCGCCATCTTCCCCTACTTACCCCGACTCCCCCCGCGACCGCACTGGCTTCGCGTTTCCCTTCCGGCGGCTGACTGAGATCCGGGCTGGGCGGGGTGGGCGAGCGCGGAGAGGGGGTGGACCGAGGGCGGGGAGGCCGGACGGAAGAGGAAAAGGAGGGCAGCGAGCGGGCCGCGGCGGTGTCGTGCGTGCGGCGTGTGTGCGGCGGAGAGGTGGGAGGGCGGGAGGCGAAGAGAGGGCGGGAGGCGGAGGAATGAGAGCGCGAGGCGCTTCTCTTCGGCTCCTTCGCCCGGACGGAAAGTGCCGAGCGCAGCCCGAACGCTCTATTAAAATGGCGGCGGCTTCGGCGGTGGCCGCGGCGTCTGGTCGGTGAAGTGACTCTGCTGCTTCTTTTCCCACCCGCCCCCTCCCTCCCTCCCTCTCCCCTCCCCCCTGTCCTTCCCCCCCTTCCCCGCCGCCGGCGCCTCCGCGCCCCTCCGGCCTGCGTACCTCCCCTCGCCCCCCTCCTCTCCCCCGCCCGCTCCGGGGACCGCCGGCCCCCTCCCCCATTCTCCTGCTCCCCGCCCCGTCCCCGCCAGCCCTCGTTGCCTCCCCGCCCCGCCGGCCGGCCGGCCCCCTCCACCGCCTCTCTCCCCTCCCCCCGCCGGTCGGGATCAGTCAGTGCGATCCGAAGCGGGGGAGGGGGGGGGCGGCGGCCGAACGATGTGCGAGAACTGCGCAGACCTGGTGGAGGTGTTAAATGAAAGTAAGTAGCCGCAGTGGCGGCCTGTCGGGGTGCACGGTTTGGGGTCCCCGCGCTGCTCCCCGGCCTCCCCGGGCTGCTGCGGCCTGCGGCAGGCGACGGCAGAACCGGGCGGCGTGCGGGCCTAGCGCTCCGGGAAGGTGAGCGGTGGCGCGGCCGTCGCGCCGCCTCAGGCCCAGCTATGCCGGGTTACCTGGGCGCCCGTGCGTGGGCCGCGGTGGAGCTCTGGTCAGGCGGGGCCTGAGTGGTCTCAGCGCTCCGAAAGTTTCCTTATTACAGGTGTCAATTAACGAGGGCACTAATAAGCCTTCGCCTTCTTATGCTACTGGGAAGGTGAAGGGAGGTGGGAACCAGGCTTTCCGCCGCAGCCCCGACCCTCCGGCCGCCTTCTTTGATTTTTAGAGTGGTGTTGAGGCCTCTCTTACCTGTTAATTTTTTTTTTTTTTTCATTAAACTCCCTGGGAGGAGACTGGTGGCTTTCCCCTCCCTTGGGGGGGTGTGTGGGTGTATTAAACCCTTCTGCTAGCCCTTAAATACCTGAAAATGAACTGTGGTATTGATGATTGGAACCTTAATACCTATTTTTAAAATTAATAGTGATGCTTCTTAAGTGTACCATGCGTTGTTTTAATGCTAAATTCTGTTATATTAAGGAGAGTATCGTAGCACAGATACCATCCCGGGATAGTCATGGCCTATCTCCTGGAATAAAAGGCCTTATTCCTTACACTCTTGATTATTTAAGAGATTGTGTACATTGATTTTTTTTCTAGCCAGATTAAAAATATTTATTCCCAGCCCTTGTAAGATGGTATTTTGGTTTAAAGAACTAGATATATTGCCAGTTACCTACTTCTGGGCACAAAGGCCTATTTGGACTGGGTGAATTAATAAAAGGTTAATATACGGAAACTTGGTTTAAGGGAATGCTCATTTACCAGCAGTTTATGTGGGTTTTGGATTTGTGTTGTGTGTGTGATATTTTGAAAGACTTTCAAACTACCTCTAATATGATTCTTTAAAACAATTGATTTATAAAATATATTTTCTTGTTTGTGTTTTGAATTTTACTTTATTTATATTTGAATTTCACTTTAATGACCGAAAGCAATAGTAAAAGTGGAAGGGTATTCAGTGTACTTTCAGCTGAGTATTTGTGTCCTGACAGGTGGAAGCAGGGTTTTGTCTATCTTCAAACTATAGTTTTCAATATTTGTGCCATTCTAAGTTTTTCTAGAATTTTAAGGTTATTTGTTTTTATTTTGAGATACATTTATTTTGAGGTGCAGGTGGTGTGATTCACTGATAAACATAAATTCTTCAGAAAACTGTATTCTCTATCACAGATAAAGTTATGTGGTTATGGCTTTGCTATTCAAATTGGAAAACGAATAGCTTTGCTATGTAATATATTAGGAAAAACTACTCTTAATAATTTTGTTGGTGCTTTTAAAATTATTTTAAACTTAACCAGGAAAATTTTAAACATAGCATTTAAAGAAACTGAAGTTAGTTTTTATTAATCTTTTGAAAAGAGACCTGATGAGAGGTTATATTGAACATTAGTTGGGGATCCCCTAGGATTCTGTTTAGAAGAACTAAAAAATGCAGTGAATTTATGGAGAGTTAGAAATAGTATGAAGAACTAAGTAAAATTTAGTTTTCATTTCCTTTAAGTAAATTGAACAGTTAGTTGAACCAGGTTCACAATACCTGGCCATGCAGACCCTCTAAGAAACCTGTTGTAATGAACAAATAAAAAGGATTTCTTATTTGTGTATGAACTAATGATCTCTAAAAATACTTAGACAGTTTCTTAATAGTTCCTTTAAGGCTCAGTTTTAAAAATTGACTCCTAGAAACAATCTCACAGTGATACTTCCTTTTTTGTTTAAATTACTTAAGCAATTTTATTTGTAGGTTCTACTGAGCTATTACAGGTTGCTCCTCCCCCACCCTGTAGTTGTTTAGAAATTGTTTTCATTTTTCCTTTGTATAGTTGCTGTATCTCATTTACTAACATTTATCCATGACTGAGTAGGAGTGTGATAGTTGGAACTTGATAAAACTTGTTGAAGTAGTTTATATGTCTTTCTTGTAATCTGGTTCACAATAATTATTAAGGCTACTCTCTCCACCTCAATAGGTTGTACAAAGATGAACATCAATTCATCCTTGATAAATTCAGAGTTAAAGTACCAAAATAATGTGCTCAGAATTCATCTGTCAATACAACTCCTCATAAAGGTTTAACCAAGAGAAGAAATGAAATTTTCTGTATTTTTGGGTGTTATGTTTGAAGTTGATGTTGAAAAAGAATTATTTTAAAAAATTCGAAGAACCCGTTTTCTTTTAAAATTTACAATCTCTGCTCAGTTAAAGTCTGCCTGGACACACCAGTAAATGTGTAACCTAAAAACTTTGTGTTTCAAATGAAAGGGTAGACATAATGTGGATAGTATAGCTTTATATCTGATATGCATAGTTTTTGATAATTTAAGGACTTCAGGTGAATTGTTTATTTTAAAATATGGTAGCATGTAATGTAGTTAAAATAAAAATTGGTGGTAAAAGAGGGTAAATAGTTTTCTTTTGTCATCAGTTTTTGATGAGAGTATTAGTATTACCAGTTATACATCTATTCTTCCTGAGAATCTGAAGCTATAAAACTCTAACTATGGAACATATATACACAGATATAATTTTGCCTGGAGGTTAAGGGCATGTTGAAGCCTATCTGTGGATCCAGGCTAAGGACCCGATATTAAGGACTCCCTCACCCCTCTTTTTAATGTGCTCTTGACATGTCCTAAAACTTGAAATTACATTTCAAAATAGCATTTGGCTTTAGTGTTAGGAATAAACAAATCAACAATACTAACAATTGAGTTCCCATTTTTCTTTCAGTACTTTGTTTTTTATAAGGAAGACATTTTTAAAAGCTTGGAATGTGTTGAGTGAATTTTGTTCTTCCTTTGTGGGATTGCATTTAGTTTAGAAGGTAATTTTAAGTGTTTATTTCTGTGCTTGTTGTTTGGATTTTGTGTGTTTGCTGCTTTTATAGCTGTTTTATGAACCAGTTCACTAAGTCCAAGGTATTTCTGGATGTTGATGAGAAGATGGAGGTCTGAAGTTATGAGACCAGAATGAAAATGGTTTTGAATGGACATCAATCTTTTAAATATATTTGTATGTTGTGGATTTTATTCTTTGTGTGTGTTGAGTGAATTACAGTTTACCATTTGTTTAAAATAGACAATTCATTTGTTGTTCCTAACTGTCCTTTGAGATAGGTCAGAGCAAGTATTGGTGCCTCAGCCATAAAGGTGAAGAAATTGACCCTCAGAAAGTCTTAAGTGGTTTGCAAAGGATCATCTGTCACTTGCTTAGTTAGTAGCCATATCAAAGCTGGAACTCAAGATACTCTATCTGTAATTATAGAGTTTGCATTTTATTTTTACTTTATTTTTTTAATTTTAATTTAATTTTATTTATCTTTAGAGGGGAAGGGAAGGAGAGAAGGAGAGAAGTATCAATGTATGGTTGCCTCTCATGTGTCCCCTGCTGGGAACTGGCCTGCAACCCAGGCATGTGCTCTGAGTGGGAATCAAACCACGGTTGTTTGGTTCGCAGGCCTGCGCTCAACCCACTGAGCTACACCAGCCAGGGCTGCATTTTATTTTTAAAGCAGAATATTTTATTGAATAGTTTGTGTTGAGTAATTTATCAGTTCTTTGAGGGTAGGTACTCTTAATACCCTTTTCAGATAAAGAGAACCAAGGCTTAGAGTTTATGTAACTTGGATAGAGTCACAGGACTATTCGTTGGAGCTAGGATTTGAACAAGATTTAATCCCAGGTCAGACTGAAAAGCCTACACTCTTTAACAGTTATGGTATGCTGTATGAACTAGATGATCTAATTAAGTGAAGGACATTATTATGAATGAGTACACTGTTTGGCAAAATAAAAAATTATTATATTTTTATGTATTTTAACAAATTCAGGTGTAATTTCATGGTAATTGTAGTAAAAATTTATGGCGATGAATGTAGCTGAATGGGAATCTATTTCCATATTGTCAGCAGTGCTCCCTTTAAAAAGAACTACACATATCTAGGGTTTTTTAAGATAAGTACACAGGCACTAAATACAATATCTAGCTTGTTTCACCTAACATTATGTTTGATCATCTCCCTTACTGACTTTTGAAAACATTTTTGTCTGTATGATATTTCCATTTTGTATACGATTTAATATTTTCCCATTATTGTATGTTTGTTTTCAGTTCTCCCATAGTATGAATAATGCTGCAACCCCGACCAGTTGGTTGGGTTTTGTCCTGCAAAGTGAAAGGTCACCAGTTGATTTCCGGTCAGGCACATGCCTGCGTTGTGGGTTCCCTGGGCACTTATGAGAGGCAACCAGTTGATGTTTCTCTCTCATATCAATGTCTCTAAACCCTCTCTTTCTCCCTCCCTTTCCCTGTCTCTAAAAATAAATAATCTTAAGAAAATAATGCTGCAAATGGTCATCCTGTATGTAAACATATGTATTTTAATCCTCATCTGAGAATATGTTCATTGATTTTAGAGAGAAAGGGAGAGGGAGAGAAAAAGGAAAAGAAAGGGAGGGAGGGAGGGAGGAAATGAGTGAGAGAGAAATTGAGAGAAATGTTGATCCATTGCCTCCCATATTTGCCCTGACTGGAGATTGAACCTTCAACCTTTTGGTGTACGGGATGATGCTCCAACCAACTGAGCTGCCCGTCAGGGCATATGTAAATCTTTTAATACATTTTTAAAGAT